GAGGCCCCGACCCCAGGAGCTGACAGTCTATGAGACCCTGACCCCAGGAGCTGACAGTCTATGAGACCCCGACCCCAGGAGCTGACAGTCTATGAGACCCCGACCCCAGGAGCTGACAGTCTATGAGACCCCGACCCCCAGGAGCTGACAGTCTATGAGACCCCGACCCCAGGAGCTGACAGTCTATGAGACCCCGACCCCAGGAGCTGACAGTCTATGAGACCCTGACCCCAGGAGCTGACAGTCTATGAGATCCCGACCCCAGGAGCTGACAGTCTATGAGACCCCAGGAGCTGACAGTCTACGAGACCCCGACCCCAGGAGCTGACAGTCTATGAGACCCCAACCCCAGGAGCTGACAGTCTATGAGACCCGACCCCAGGCCCTGACAGGAGCCCCGACCCCAGGAGCTGACAGTCTATGAGACCCCGGCCCCAGGAGCTGACAGTCTATGAGACCCCGACCCCAGGAGCTGACAGTCTACGAGACCCCGACCCCAGGAGCTGACAGTCTGAGACCCCAGGAGCTGACAGTCTACGAGACCCCTGACCCCAGGAGCTGACAGTCTACGAGACCCCGACCCCAGGAGCTGACAGTCTATAATGAGACCCTGACCCCAGGAGCTGACAGTCTATGAGACCCCAGGAGCTGACAGTCTACGGGACCCCGACCCCAGGAGCTGACAATCTATGAGACCCCAACCCCAGGAGCTGACAGTCTACGAGACACCGACCCCAGGAGCTGACAGTCTATGAGACCCTGACCCCAGGAGCTGACAGTCTATGAGACCCTGACCCCAGGAGCTGACAGTCTACGAGACCCCGACCCCAGGAGCTGACAGTCTGAGACCCTGACCCCAGGAGCTGACAGTCTACGAGACCCTGACCCCAGGAGCTGACAGTCTATGAGACCCTGACCCCAGGAGCTGACAGTCTATGAGACCCCGACCCCAGGAGCTGACAGTCTATGAGACCCCAACCCCAGGAGCTGACAGTCTACGAGACACCGACCCCAGGAGCTGACAGTCTATAATGAGACCCTGACCCCAGGAGCTGACAGTCTATAATGAGACCCGACCCCAGGAGCTGACAGTCTATAATGAGACCCCGACCCCAGGAGCTGACAGTCTATGACCCCGACCCCAGGAGCTGACAGTCTACGGACCCCGACCCCAGGAGCTGACAGTCTATGAGACCCCAACCCCAGGAGCTGACAATCTACAAGACCCGACCCCAGGAGCTGACAGTCTATGAGACCCCAACCCCAGGAGCTGACAATCTACGAGACCCGACCCCAGGAGCTGACAGTCTGAGACCCTGACCCCAGGAGCTGACAGTCTATAATGAGACCCTGACCCCAGGAGCTGACAGTCTATAATGAGACCCTGACCCCAGGAGCTGACAGTCTAACCAGACCCCGACCCCAGGAGCTGACAGTCTGAGACCCCGACCCCAGGAGCTGACAGTCTATGAGACCCCAACCCCAGGAGCTGACAGTCTACGAGACCCTGACCCCAGGAGCTGACAGTCTATGAGACCCCGACCCCAGGAGCTGACAGTCTATGAGACCCTGACCCCAGGAGCTGACAGTCTATAATGAGACCCTGACCCCAGGAGCTGACAGTCTACCATGAGGCCCCGACCCCAGGAGCTGACAGTCTATAATGAGACCCCTGACCCCAGGAGCTGACAGTCTATAATGAGACCCCAACCCCAGGAGCTGACAGTCTACAAGACCCCGACCCCAGGAGCTGACAGTCTACCAGACCCCGACCCCAGGAGCTGACAGTCTACAAGACCCCGACCCCAGGAGCTGACAGTCTACGAAACACCCCCCCAGGAGCTGACAGTCTATATGAGACCCTGACCCCAGGAGCTGACAGTCTACGAGACCCCGACCCCAGGAGCTGACAGTCTATGAGACCCTGACCCCAGGAGCTGACAGTCTATGAGGCCCTGACCCCAGGAGCTGACCTATGACCCTGACCCCAGGAGCTGACAGTCTATAATGAGACCCTGACCCCAGGAGCTGACAGTCTATAATGAGACCCCGACCCCAGGAGCTGACAGTCTACGAAACACCGACCCCAGGAGCTGACAGTCTACGAGACCCCGACCCCAGGAGCTGACAATCTATGAGACCCCGACCCCAGGAGCTGACAGTCTACGAGACCCCGACCCCAGGAGCTGACAATCTATGAGACCCCACCCCAGGAGCTGACAGTCTATAATGAGACCCCGACCCCAGGAGCTGACAGTCTATGAGGCCCTGACCCCAGGAGCTGACAGTCTATAATGAGACCCCGACCCCAGGAGCTGACAGTCTATGAGGCCCTGACCCCAGGAGCTGACAGTCTATAATGAGGCCCTGACCCCAGGAGCTGACAGTCTATAATGAGACCCCGACCCCAGGAGCTGACAGTCTATCAGCATCTTTGGGGTGTTGGTTCCCGCGGGTCACATTCCGGTAGAATTGCCGCCATCTTTTATTTGCTGGAAGTGAACGATCGATAATTGCTCCGAATAAACTCTGCGTTCCAGGTTTGCGTTGCTCATCCAGTTGCCATGGTAACGGGCGGCGGTATTGGTAAATGGACCCCCTTCGCCGCGCCCCTCGCTGTTTCCTGCGCTCTCCGGCCCGGCTAAGTGGCATCTGCCAATCCGCAATAAGTCGGTGAGAGCCATTGACCCGCCTCCCGCCAGCTCCTCCATCTTCACCTTCGACGCCAACATGAGGGAGTCGATGTCAATGGCGGTCAGCGGTTTGTAAAAAGGCGCCGCGGCGCTCATTTCACGCATTAAAATACTTTTTTTTTCCTGTGATATGGCGTCCGGCGGGGGTGGGGGTGGGTGGGGGCGCGCCGCGCTCCCCGTTGTGTCGGCCATGAATAACAATGGAGAATTCGGCATTTCCACATCACGCGTCAAACATCAAATCCAGCGCCGCCGAGCGCGCATTTCCGTAGCTGCGGGGAGGACAGGAACCGCCTCTTTTTACCGCTGAATTATAGAGAATTTTCGGCGTCGGGGGCGGTCCATGAAAGTCTCCACGTTTGTATCCTCCGCCGCCATGTGAGAAGAAACCGCCGCGCTTTTCCCCGTGTTAACGTAACAGCCACTGAAAACGCCATTTTGATCCTCCCGGGCGATGGCGGTATCTCACATCCCGCCGTCGCTTCGTTTTATCGCCGTTTGTCCGTATTTTCGCTCGTAAATCTTATCGACCTGCTGGAAAGAGGAACCGCCTGCGCCGAAGGCGGCGATCACGTGGCAAGAGGGTGACGGAGTGGAAGACGCCATATTGAAGAAAATGTCGTTACGATTTAATGAAGTATAAATTGTGACAAGTACGCCGCAACTGCGTCAGAAGCGAGAGAGGCTTTCCAGCCAATCCGATCGATCCCGCTTCCATTCGATGAGTACTGGGAAAAATCGAACCTTCTCGGAAAACGACCATAATATGGCCACCAGATGGCTCTGATGAGCATACTTATTTCCTATGAAGGTCGGCGCCATCTAGTGGCCACAATGCAGTATTCCCCATTCATACTAGATGGCGCTGATGAGCATACTTATTTCCCATGAACGTCGGTGCCATCTAGTGGCCACAATGCGGTATTCTCCCCATTCACATCAGATGGCGTTGATGAGCATACTTATTTCCTATGAAGGTCGGCGCCATCTAGTGGTCACAAGGCGGTATTCCCCTTTCACACTAGATGCGCTGAGAGCATACTTATTTCCTATGAAGGTCGGCGCCATCTAGTGGCCACAATGCAGTATTCCCCATTCATACTAGATGGCGCTGATGAGCATACTTATTTCCCATGAAGTCAGCGCCATCTAGTGGCCATCGATGTGGTATTCATTCACACTAGATGGCGCTGATGATACTTATTTCCAATGAAGGTCTGCGCCATCTAGCGGCCACAAGGCGGTATTCTCCATTCACACTAGATGGCGCTGTTGAGCATACTTATTTCCCATGAACGTCGGCTCCATCTAGTGGCCACAATGTGCAGTATTCTCCATTCACATTAGATGGCGCTGATGAGCATACTTATTTCCCATGAACATCGGTTCCATCTAGTGGCCACAATGCGGTATTCTCCATTCACACTAGATGGCGCTGATGAGCATACTTATTTCCCATGAGAGTCAGCGCCATTAGTGGCCACAATGAATTCTCCATTCACACTAGATGGCGCTGTCATACTTATTTCCCATGAGTGCGCATCTAGTGGCCACAATGCCGTATTCTCCATTCACACTAGATGGCGCTGATGAGCATACTTATTTCCCATGAGAGTCAGCGCCATCTAGTGGCCACAATGCGGTATTCTCTCCATTCACACTAGATGGCGCTGATGAGCATACTTATTTCCAATGAAGGTCGGCGCCATCTAGTGGCCACAATGCGTTTTTTTTTCCCCCCAGTCACACATTCGATCTGAAGAGCGTATAGATGGAGAACATTCGATTTTGTTTTCCCCATTTCCACACCATTTCGATGGATGAATACGCCCCAAAGTGTTCCGATGCTCCGCCCCTTCCCGGTGACGCGGTCCGGACGCTTTTCCCGCCATAACAGAATGAATTCCGGATATTTTGTAACATTGTTTCCTGTCGCTGTCTTCAGGAATCCGCGTCTCCTTTTGCGCAATTTCGGGATCTTTATCGTGCTATTTCCACGCCGGGATTTTATTGGCTGTTGGCGTTGAGCGCCGTATGTGGTATAAAATCCGGTTGTCCGGCCCTCCCCCGTCAGGACGCGGCGAGGAGACGGCGTTCCGCGTTCACCTTCCTCTGCATCTACGCGCGTCAAATCTCCTGCCGTTCGTAAAAGCTGCGAACAAAACGAGGAGAACAAAACCGCAATGAGAATCATGTCCGCCATTTCCAGCGCCGAGCTCTTCGGTGATGTTAGGAGTCCAAAATCTATTCCGCCGCGCTCCGCCATAACCGCCAGCTACTCCAACGCATTCCCAGCGCGCGGCGGGCCATTCCCTGCACTGTGCTGGCTCCGCCCCGATCTGTAAAATAGCGCCGTGTCGTTCGCAGCGCCCCGCTATAAACATCATGTGACCATTTCCCCGGGCGGCGAGGGAAGAAAAAGCGGCGGACTCCCCCTTTAAGGAGCGGGATTTCTTGCCCGCCGGAGCCGGAGACCCTCCCACCCCCATCCTCTAGGTGTACTGGCTCCTCCCCTTCAGTCTTGCACAGGTGTATCGGCTCCTCCCCTTCAGGCTTGCACAGGTGTCCCGGCTCCCCCTCCAGTCTTGCACAGGTGTCTTGCTCCCCTCCAGTCTTGCACAGGTGTACTTGCTCCTCCCCCTCAGTCTTGCACAGGTGTACCGGCTCCTCCCCTTCAGTCTTGCACAGGTGTACCGGCTCCTCCCCCTCAGTCTTGCACAGGTGTCCCGGCTCCTCCCCTTCAGTCTTGCACAGGCGTACTGGCTCCTCCCCTTCAGTCTTGCACAGGTGTACCGGCTCCTCCCCTTCAGTCTTCTACAGGTGTAGCGGCTCCTCCCCTTCAGTCTTGCACAGGTGTACTGGCTCCTCCCCTTCAGTCTTGCACAGGTGTACCGGCTCCTCCCCTTCAGTCTTGCACAGGTGTAGCGGCTCCTCCCCTTCAGTCTTGCACAGGTGTACTGGCTCCTCCCCTTCAGTCTTGCACAGGTGTACCGTCCTCCCCCTTCAGTCTGCTCTGCTCCTCCCCTTCAGTCTTGCGCAGGTGTATTGGCTCCTCCCCTTCAGAGGGCGAAGGAGTGGATATAAGGAGGGCAGACATAATCTGTAGGGGGGGGCGGTAATACAGAGATCATGTTGGGAGGAGCTAATAGATGATACAATGAGGTAATTTTTCCCACCTTTCTCTTACAGGCGCCCCCCCCCCCCCCAGGTGGTTACACTTTGTTAGGGGGTATTATCGGGGGTCCGGCTCTGGGTGGGGGGATTTCAGTTTGGGGGGGGCAGGAAAGGGGTAGAATTTCGGAACGCGCAGATCTGGAAAACCATTTTTTCCCCGCCATTGATTCGCCATCTTTCGGGAATCAGGAACTTTGATTCCTGTTCAGTGAGGTGCAGCTGCGTTCCCAACCTCGCCCGCCAATGGGATCCTCTCTCTCTCCTCCAGGGGGGGGGGGAGGGGCGGTAATGGCGGTGTGTCTGGGGTGGGATCCTTCTCTCTCCTCCAGGGGGGGGCGGTAATGGCGGTGTGTGATGGAAGTCTGGGGTGGGATCCTCCTCTCTCCTCCGGGGGGGGGGGGGGCGGGTAATGGCGGTGTAGTGATGGAAGTCTGGGATGGGATCCTCCTTTCTCCTCCAGGGGGGGGGGGGGGGGGGCAGTAATGGCGGTGTGTCTGGGGTGGGATCCTTCTCTCTCCTCCAGGGGGGGGGCGGTAATGGCGGTGTGTGTCTGGGGTGGGATCCTCCTCTCTCCTCCAGGGGGGGGGGGGGGGCGGTAATGGCGGTGTAGTGATGGAAGTCTGGGATGGGATCCTCCTTTCTCCTCCAGGGGGGGCGGTAATGGCGGTGTATCTGGGGTGGGATCCTCCTCTCTCCTCCAGGGGGGCGGTAATGGCGGTGTAGTGATGGAAGTCTGCGGTGGGTCCCTCCTCTCCTCCGGGGGGGGGGGGGGGGTAATGGCGGTGTAGTGATGGAAGGTTCCTCCTCTCTCCTCCAGGGGGGGCGGTAATGGCGGGGCGTTAGGAAAGATGGAGAGCGGGAAGGAGGTTTTATTGGCGGCGTGGGAGCGCTTCTCCTTATGGTGCGTCTATAAAGATGCGGATGAAGCCGCGCTAAACATGAATCGGGTGGTCCCCCGGCCGCCCATTAACCCGCATAGTTGTACCGCCCCCCGGGCCCCATCCATTCACCGCTAGGAAGCCATTGACCTCATTGGCGGCTGGGCTGGTGCTGACTCAGGAGGTAATATCTCGTCCGCATCACAGCGAGCTCCTCGCCGCCCGTCCTTCCAACCAAGACGCATCGGGACGCAGAAATTGCTCTCAGTAACTCCTCCGGGCGCCGTCCCGCTATTCGCTGCTTCCTGGGGGCCCCTGATGGATGAATTTGGAGGGCGGGGGGCCACCGTGCGTACTCCCCCCCCCTCCCCCTGCGCCAGCCCACTACCCCTCCCACTGCGCTCCTTTATAAAACATGGAGGTGTTTCCCGCGGCGCAGCACTTGCGATCTTCTCATTTCCACTGGCGCCATGATAACGCTCGACGACCGACCGCCGCTAATCGCCATTCCGGACGCATTTTTCAGAACGCTGATTTTTTTTTTTTGCGAGATTTCATTAACCCGTGTAGCCCCAAACACGCGTCACGCGGCGCTGTCACCCCCCCCCCCCACCCCCGCCTGGCGCACTCCGACATATCATCGCTCAGCGGCGGCAGTGCAACGCCGTGCGCCTTGATGGAGAAGCGCGGAATTAGCGGGCCCCCGGAGAGGCGGAGGAACGCCGGCGACGCGCACTGCCACGCCTTTACAATGGCTGGCGTGTTTGTGTGGCGGCATCCTTCGCCTCCCCCCTCATCCCCCCCCTCGTCCCCCCTCATCCCCCCCCTCATCCCCCCCCCCCCCGTTCCCCCCCCCTCGTCCCCCCCTCGCCCCCCCCGTCCCCCCCCCCCCCTCGTCCCCCCTCATCCCCCCCCCATCCCCCCCTCGTTCCCCCTCCCCCCCGTCGCCCCCCTCCGCACCGCCTACAGACGCACAAAACAAAGCACGCTTTGAAAGTGCGTCCGTTCCCTCGCGGGACACTCCCCCAAACACCCGGATGAAACGCGCTGCGGCCAGACGGGGGATTTATCCGGTCCCTTGCCAGGATGAGGCTCATTGTTCCCGGGATGGAGAGGAGAAAAGGGCGTGGCCAGGGATTGGGGCTCATTTTACACGCGTCGGGCGGGATCTACTGTGAAAGATGGCGATTGGTTGACACATTTTCCCACGACGTGCGTAGGACCGCCCCCGCATCTCCCAATCACGCGGTTTCCCACGACGTGCTGCACAGGACCGCCCCCACATCTCCCATTGTGGGAGGGGCAGAGACACCAACTACTGCGGGGAATCTCCCCATTGTGGGAGGGGCAGAGACACAACTACTGGAGGGAAATCTCCCCATTGTGGGAGGGGCAGAGACACCAACTACAGCGGGGAAATCTCCCCATTGTGGGAGGGGCAGAGACACAAACTACTGGAGGGAAATCTCCCCATTGTGGGAGGGGCAGAGACACAAACTACTGGAGGGAAATCTCCCCATTGTGGGAGGGGCAGAGACACAAAACTACTGCGAGGGAAATCTCCCCATTGTGGGAGGGGCAGAGACACCAACTACTGCAGGGAAATCTCCCCATTGTGGGAGGGGCAGAGACACCAACTACTGCGGGGAAATCTCCCCATTGTGGGAGGGGCAGAGACACCAACTACTGCGGGAAATCTCCCCATTGTGGGAGGGGCAGAGACACAAACTACTGCAGGAAATCTCCCCATTGTGGGAGGGGCAGAGACACAAACTACTGGGGGAAATCTCCCCATTGTGGGAGGGGCAGAGACACAAACTACTGGAGGGAAATCTCCCCATTGTGGGAGGGGCAGAGACACAAACTACTGGAGGGAAATCTCCCCATTGTGGGAGGGGCAGAGACACAACTACTGCAGGGAAATCTCCCCATTGTGGGAGGGGCAGAGACACCAACTACTGCGGGGAAATCTCCCCATTGTGGGAGGGGCAGAGACACAAACTACTGCGGGGAAATCTCCCCATTGTGGGAGGGGCAGAGACACAAACTACTGGAGGGAAATCTCCCCATTGTGGGAGGGGCAGAGACACAAAACTACTGGGGGGAAAATCTCCCCCATTGTGGGAGGGGCAGAGACACAACTACTGGAGGGAAATCTCCCCATTGTGGGAGGGGCAGAGACACAAACTACTGGAGGGAAATCTCCCCATTGTGGGAGGGGCAGAGACACCAACTACTGCAGGGACTTCTCCCCATTGTGGGAGGGGCAGAGACACAACTACTGGAGGGAAATCTCCCCATTGTGGGAGGGGCAGAGACAAAACTACTGAGGGAAATCTCCCCATTGTGGGAGGGGCAGAGACACAAACTACTGGAGGGAAATCTCCCCATTGTGGGAGGGGCAGAGACACAAACTAGTGGAGGGAAATCTCCCCATTGTGGGAGGGGCAGAGACACAACTACTGGAGGGAAATCTCCCCATTGTGGGAGGGGCAGAGACAAAACTACTGGAGGGAAATCTCCCCATTGTGGGAGGGGCAGAGACACAAACTACTGGAGGGAAATCTCCCCATTGTGGGAGGGGCAGAGACTGGTCTCACCTTAGAGGAATTGTCCCGGTCGGCATGATGGCGCCCTCTGTGGGTGGGATGTGTTGGTGATCGGAGGCCCCGGTGGCCCTTTGGTCCCCAATGATGGTGTCACCCCCCCTCCCCCGCACAGCTCCGCCGTCAGTCCTGTTTCCATGTTTTGTGATCAGTAGCAGAATGGCGCGGCGATAATAATGACGTCCGCTGGGAGAGGGAATGCAAAGTGCCGACACAAGACAGCGAGTTTTACGACCTTCCCGGAGCATCGAACTTAACCCTTCGCGGCAGAGCTCCGCCGCGCTCCACACAGAACGCCCCTCCTCCGTCTCTCATATCCTCCAGGGCCCCATCTACTCCTCTCCGGGGCCCCATCCCCATCATTGCACCATTTTCTGCCCCCCCTGTGAAGTTGCATCTTTCTGGCGTACGTTTTCCTGCGCCGTTTCGCACATCGCCATTTTTTTGAGCGTTTTGGAAACATTTTCGCCCTTTTCCGTCTGCGCCATATTCACATTGAGACGAGGGCAGAAAAAATATTGAGGAATATTCATCTCCGATCCGCGGCGGACCGCCGTTCCAGAACCGTCTTGTCCTCGCGCCGCCAGGCCACGCCTCCTAGCGCAAACGCTAAACCTCAGCGCTCTTGTTGCCTCCCGCGGACGCCCCCTTTTAGCGTCTGTGTGTGCGAGGCCATAGATCATGGCGCCCCCTTCCTCGCAACACCACCCCAGAACCGCCATCGGGAGGCGCTCCGCACCCCCCCCCCCCCCCGCCCCCAGGCGGCGAGGAAAACAGACACAGCTGCAGCCGCCACAATATGATTTGTGATTAATTCCGCCGAAAATACACAAAAAAACTGGATCTGAAACTCGATAAAGAAAAGACGAGAAATGGCGTCGCCGGCGGCGATGGCGGCGGAGGAAATGACAATAATGCCGCAAATAAATCCACAAATGACGTCTCTGCGCTCCCGCCCCCCGCGCGATGGTTTTTATTTACTCAACAAGGAAATGACACAAGGAGACGGGAGATGGATGGCGCAGGAAGGCGTGGGATGGCGAGGGATGGCGCGGGATGGCGAGGGATGGCGAGGGATGGTGCGGGATGGCGAGGGAAGACACGGGATGGCGAGGGAAGACACGGGATGGCGAGGGAAGGCGAGGGATGGCGCGGGATGGGGCGATGGGGTGGGATGGCGAGGGAGGGCGAGGGATAGCGAGGGATGGCGAGGGAAGGCGAGGGATGGCGAGGGATGGCGCGGGATGGGGCGGGATGGGGAGGGATGGGCGAGGGAGGGCGAGGGATGGCGAGGGATGGCGAGGGAAGGCGAGGGAAGGCGAGGGATGGCGTGGGATGGCGAGGGAAGGCGTGGGATGGCGCGGGATGGGGCGGGATGGGGTGGGATGGCGAGGGAGGGCGAG